TTGTTGTTGTAGACTCTTTGTTGTTTTTGCATAATTTCACTGAGTTGCTTGCCAGGTTCCTTGTATTTTTTCACTTTGGAATTAGTTAAACATGATAATTTGTAGTTGCAAATTAGATTCATTAATTTTTTAACTTCTCATTGAAATATATTTCTCATTGAAATATACTTATTCACTGAAATATACTTATTATTTCACTGTTAGTGAGCCCAAATCTTTGGACTTTCTCATTATTATGCGTTTGTAGATATACGTGGGGACTGGGAAGCATGGGACAGCTTGGGCATTGCTCTCTTCAGTATGGAGATAAAGAACTGATTCCAAGACGAGTTGTTGCTCTTGACGGAACGACGATTAAAGATGTTGCCTGTGGTGGTGTGCACACATGTGCTCGGACTGTCGATGGAGCGCTTTATGCCTGGGGTGGCAGTCAAGCTGGACAATTAGGGCTTGGCCCTCAGACTGGTCATTTTTCCTGTGCTGCTAATTCATCAGAATCTTTGTTTCATAATATACCAGTGTTAACTATACCTTCTGGTGTACATCTTGTCACCTGTGGACATTCTCACACGCTTGTGTATATGAGGGATGGAAGAATATATGGGTGGGGTTACAATAACTATGGCCAGGCAGCTAATCAGAAATCAACATATGCTTGGTTCCCTTCTCCTGTTGATTGGTATGTCATTTCTGTGAATTGCTTCTGCTTCTTTGTTTTAAATGTATGGAGAAGTACAGTTGAACCATTTAATGGCCTGCCAGGTGTGTCGGCGAAGTGACGAAAATGGCTGCTGGAGGCGGTCACTCAGTTGTCCTGACTGATGCGTGCACATTGAAAGAGCTTTGTGAATTTAGGCTCGCTGAAAATGTGACTAAATCCAATTCGTTGCTCATTGAAGATGTGGCGTCCCGGACCGGGTCAGATGCATTGGCTCGCCTTTGTGAACGTTTAAGGTATGCTTTGACTTGGCACATAAGCAACACTCAATAGAAACAAATATAGACCTAGGATTCATAAACAAACCTATAGTTGTCAAAATCAGAGTACAAGGGCTGTCATTTCACTTGATGTTAATCAGTGTAACAGTCTGAACTTTCATCTATCGAGATATTATCCTCTTTGGCCTTATGGTCTCGTGCTTTTATCCCGTGGGTCTAACTTCTGAAGAGGTTACCTATCTCTGGAGTGCTTCCTCATTAACACACTTAAATTTGGAGTTTCTAATGCAATTTCAAGCTTTAAACCAAAAGATGCTACAATCTTTAAGAATTCAACTTTATTCTACCAGGGGGTTTTCACAATCTCCCTCTCTTAAGCGATTGATATTCTCGTCAGTGCTATCCCATAATTATCCACCGCGCAAATAGGATTCTAGAGGTGGCTTCTACATATTCAAGAGATGGATCCCTATCATATAACATTTTGTCTCATCAAGGGTTTAAGTGGTGGCTCCTATGACATAACACTTTATTCTATATTATACTTAATTTTAAAGTTTAAATTTGATATATCTCTCATTTCATATTTTGCTCTTAGAACCCAGCTATCCATCGACAATTTTTTTTCATTACAGCCATCCTCATTTACCCACCAGTGAAGGTTTTGAGTGAAA